ATTTATTTTCTAATAATTGTATGAGTAAATGTAAGTCTTGTAGGTACTTTTGAGCTTTAGTATTTGTGGCTTTGTTATATAACATTCGGATTTAAAATCTCGTGACAGTCAGCTGAGGATTGGTGAGACCAATCATATTGAGTGGATAAACTACAAGTAGTCAGTTTGTGTCATAGGCTTGAAAGAACTTTGAACAAGCCATAAGAAACAGATTGTACACAGTTTTTGTTATCTTGTTTGTCACCATTAATCAGAAGACACATGTTCACAATACACATTATTTTAAAGCACAACCTTCGTTGGTTTTGAAACATCAAAGTTTGGTCTTCCTCTTCTGAGATTTTTATTTTTTGCTGAAAAAAACCTTATAAAATTATTTTTGGCTTCATTATGTAAATAAAGAAAAGGTAAATAAATTGAACTATAAGGATTTTAGTAAAAAAGTGCTGTAAAATTTAGAATCTTCATGAGCTTCTTAAGTAGACAGACACCTTGTACACTAAACTTAACTCAAGTAAAATGGGTAACAAAGGCACTAATAACACTATGTTTAAAAATGAATAAAAACTTTGTAGCATATGACAGAATGGATTTTCTTTCAGACTAGCAACTCATATCATAACAGTTTATGTAAAGCAGTTTGTTAAGATAAGTCGCGTCACAATACTACTGTGTCTATTGTATCCCATCCAACATGAACATAAAACACCATATCAACACAGGATATAGGAGGTATAATACGGTTGACATATTGTTATACATTTCAGTACTTTCAATCAAAAATTCTGTTATTGTTGATATTATTAATCAAATCATAGCAATTCCTTTTGCAGCCAATCTCCATAACGTAATACCAGCCCTCCTTTTTTTCATATTTTTGCAGCATTGTTAGCCATATGCCTATTTTGAGGTCTACATGATAAGGAATTAAACATTATGAAAGTTCAAATTTATCTTTTGTGCACTGCTTCTCATTTTCCAGCTTGCAACACATCAATGTCTGTTGCAGAACAGTATTTTTATTTGGAAAATGTACTTTAACGTGTACATTTTTTACAATAAAGATAAACTTTTTACTGCATTTACAAAACTTTTTACTGTTAATAATTTTGACTTCATCTCTACTACAGTACTCATAACTAGTTTAAAAAATATTTTAAAATATCATTAAATATTATCTTTTAATTTTATTAATTTGTTAGTTTCATTTATAATGTTTGGCTTGTTTCAGCTCAGTTATTCATAATGATAAAAATTTAATTTATTAATTGAAGAACTAAGGTAATATTTCTGGCAGATATGGTTTGTGGATCAGAATTGTTCATTATTTCTGTTTTAACCTTAGTCTGGTGGACCAACAACATACTCTGTGTCACATGTTGATGGTTTTCATGAATATACAGGCTTTGATTTTCTAAAAATAGTTTCCAGTTTCAATTTCCTCATGGTTGGTTACATTTGACACCACAATAATGGTTATAAATCTTTGGAATTGATTTTACCTAGACTCATTCACATAGTTAAATTATTTTTGATTTGCATGTTCTGAACAGTATTTTTGTGGGCAAAAAAATAACTTTTTTGTTTTTTTCTCAAGAACGTTCCAGAAAATGAAGTTGAGACAGCTATATCCAGAGTGCTGGCGACAGTTAATGGTACAGCATTTTATTTTATTTTTCGAATGGGACCACTATTAAGCAGCATGGCCATCCTGTGTAGAAATGTTATTATTTGGACACATTCCATTATTGTGGTCAGTAATTCTTTTACCCTGGACTGGTGTTAAAGAAATTGTATTCACTCAAATGTAGGATTATTTTATTTTAGTTAAGATTTTAATCTCCCTATTAGTGTTGTAAAAATTTAACACAAAGAATGGTTTGATTTCTACCAATTTACCATAATTTTGTTTCACCTTATGGTGTATAATATTTGTTGAAGTTTTGCAGTTATTGACTATTGTGAATATTCATTTAGCTAAGACTTGCAATACAGATTTGGATATATTTTATGTTCTAGTGTTATTTGTTTCAACTGAGTGTTCTGAAATTAGCTCTTGGTATCAGAAAGTAAAAGTTTTTATTTGTGTTTATCTGTTAAAGTAATTATTGTGTTTTTCAGTTTTATAATAGTACATGTTTTGAATTGTGTGGATAAAGCATTTTTATGCTGATACTTTGCTCATACACAGATTTCTCGTACATTATCATAAGTTCATAATTTCTTCATACATAGACCTTTAATGTAGAATCTTACTCATATTGCCAGTATTTCAGAACACCTTGAATTTGTCTAAAAATGTTATTGCATTACAATGCGTAAAATGTTTTCCAGCATATGTATTATTCAAGTATTCCAGTTAAGCCTTTCAGGATTCTTATTTAAAGCTTATTGATTGATTCCATTGTAAGTTAACTGAAGAAACAATTTAAGTATAAACATTTTATTGAGAAATTGAGAGAATTTACAAGTTTTGTTTGTTATTTTACTAAGTTTCTAAAATTAATTGCCATTTTGTACAATAGTTGTTTAAAAACCTTTGGTGATAAGAACTACCTATAAGTTACTTATGTATTGTCATTCAGTTTGTAAATGAAAAATCATGTTGGTCTTTTACTGAAAATTTTAGACAATTCAACAGGTTGTACTTTCCTTTAAACACATGTTTTTGTTATAACAGTTTATCATGTTTTATAAAAGTCTGAAGGGTTACAAAGTTAAATTGTAAACAAACTAGTTATAATATTCTTATTACTATTAAATTTTTCAACAAAGTATACTACGTACGTAAATGAAGAATGGCAAGATCAGTGATCAAAGGTCACTACCAGGTACACTGAAGTAATGTCTCATTGAAATCCATTGAATTTTTTAATACCAGTTGCAAACCAATTTTGTCATCAGAAACATAATGGCATATGGTCGTGTTGTATACAAAAAAAAAGTTTTTATATATATCAATAATATGATTATAAGTATTTTTGCATATTTGATCCATAACTATAAGATATTTCCATGTAGGTTGTGATTCTCTTTGAATGTTTTTACTTATTATGGTATTATTTCTAAACACAAAAGGACTACTACTACTAAAAAAAGGCATAAAAATGCAGTGATGTTTTAATTCACCATAATGTCAAATCCAGGCTAATTTTTAAAAGAAAATAATTTTCATACAATACATCATGACATGTCAAAATATTTAATCGATACAAGTTAAGAAGGGGTTGAAATATAAGGTCAAAACTATGTGAACGTATTAGGTTTAGTACTGGGAACATGAAAGGTGAATTTAGACTATAAAAGAAAAGTTTTCATGTATATATCTTTGTTTCCATTATTCATGAAATTGATTTCATCTGGAGACACCTTTAGATCCACATATGTCACTCTGAATGACCATTTTATTATTGAACTTTGTATATTTTTTAATTATTCTTTTTTATATTAATAAGTTATTTATACTTGGGTATAAGTTTTTATATATATTGGCATAAACAATGTTAGAAGGTAGATTTATTTTATGTATAATTGAGAAAACTTAAAAAAAAAAATAATGAGAAAAATGACCGAGACAAACACAATAATATAATCATCATTCAGAGTGACACTATGGTACAATAGTTAATCATCATTCAGAGTGACTCTATGGTGCAATAGTTAATCATCATTCAGAGTGACTCTATGGTACTATAGTTAACCATCATTCAGAGTCACTCTATGGTACAATAGTTATCTCCAAATGAATTTAATTCATGCATTATTGTAGAATATGTAACAAGAATAAAACAAAGTCATACATATGAACTTCTTAAATACTCCAAACTCACCTCTTATGTTCACATAATTTTTTGTGTTGCCTCATTATGCTCATGTTTCTTGTAAAAAAATATTTTTTTTCTATTCTGATACTGACTTTTCATCACATTTCTTGCCCTTTCTTCTGTAACATTGTTATTTAAAATGGTTGAGATTTATTGCCCGAAGAAATAAATATTAAATATTATCAGTGTTATATCAGAAAAAGTGTAATATAAATACTGCGTATACTTGCTTCAATATAATTCCAATAACTGAAAGTTCAAGTGAGGTGTTATTGGCTATCCATAATTTAAATTGAAGAAATGAATATCAAGTTATTTTTTCAGTAAAACTTTATGTTTTATCTGTTATTTTCTTGTCCTTAATTGATTCAATTTTATAACATGCATCTGAAATGTGCTTGAATATAAAAACTGAAATTAAAAATAATTTCAAACTTGATAAGAAAGAAACTTAAGATATTAAATTTTATAAATACAGGCATCATTCTACAAGCATAATATTCCTGTTGCTCTAAAACCAATTTTCATCAACATCATAGTTATACTGAATAACTTTTCATTTCTAAGGTGTTCTAGAGGTTACGTAAATGAAATATGAAAACAAAGCTGAAAAAAGTTGCTCATGCTGATTCAGTAAAGTTGTTGTAAATTCATACATATCTTTAGTTAAAATGCTTTTCTAAACAAATAGATTTTGTTTTGTATACAGCAACATTGTAATGTTTCCTAAAAGCTTGCCAAATTCTGTGAAAATGCACTTAGTAAATTCAGTTTCAGGCATAGTTTCATGGTTACGTGATAGATACAAGGTTGGTCAAAATGACCAAGACTTTGTACAGAAAGTTAAGAAAATGGTGCAAAAATGTTTTAATGTCAAATGAGAAAGACAAGTTTTAGATTTTTTTCCTTATTCTTTTTGTGACTTTTTTATCCATCAGAAAGTTTGCCATCTGATGAAGCCTCCATTTGGTTCAGCCGTAAGTCTGAGGTCTTATAATGCTAGAAATTAAGTTTCGATACCTGTGGTTGGCACAGCACAGATAGCTCATTGTATAGGTTTATGTTTGATAACAAAACATAAAAATCTCATGAAATACACTTTTCGAAACACTTGAATTGGCTTTTTAATCTGGAGTGATTCAGCACCTGAAAAATAGCAGTGCTGGTCCATTTAAACTTTTAAGTAATTGTGTTGCAAGAATAAGATAGGATTATAAGACAAAACTGCTGTAATAAATTTGATGTCATAATAAGTTTGATACCTATCTTACTTAGACAAAAGTTATTGCAGCTTTTACAGTAAGGAAAAATTTTTATTTTAAGCAGATAAGGCATATCGATCTCTGGTGCAATCATTGTCATGTACACCTTTGTACTCGAGAATTATTGCACCAACGGTTGAAAAGTCGTACCTGTTTAAAATAAACCTTCTTTCTTACTTTATAAGTTTTAACTTTGAAACGTGCTATAGCTATTGTAAAAATAAAAACTGCTTAAATGCACAATTAGGTACATGAGAAAATTGTAAGATACATGTATAGCTAAAAGAAGTAGTTATTAAGGACATACAAAAAGTTTGATTATTCAAGAGGAGAAGTAGTTATTAAGGGCATACAAAAAGTTTGATTATTCAAGAGGAGAAGTAGTTATTAAGGGCATACAAAAAGTTTGATTATTCAAGAGGAGAATTAGTTATTAAGGGCATAACAAAGGTATGATTATTCAAGAGGAGAAGTAGTTATTAAGGACATACAAAAAGTTTGATTATTCAAGAGGAGATGTAGTTATTAAGGGCATACAAAAAGTTTGATTATTCAAGAGGAGAAGTAGTTATTAAGGGCATACAAAAAGTTTGATTATTCAAGAGAAGAAGTAGTTATTAAGGGCATACGAAAAGTTTGATTATTCAAGAGGAGAAGTAGTTATTAAGGACATACAAAAAATTTGATTATTCAAGAGGAGAAGTAGTTATTAAGGACATAAAAAAGTTTGATTATTCAAGAGGAGAAATAGTTATTAAGGGCATAAAAAAGTTTGATTATTCAAGATGAGAAGTAGTTATTAAGGACATACAAAAAGTTTGATTATTCAAGAGCAGAAGTAGTTATTAAGGGCATACAAAAAAGTTTGATTATTCAAGAGGAGAAGTAGTTATTAAGGACATACAAAAAGTTTGATTATTCAAGAGGAGATGTAGTTATTAAGGGCATACAAAAAGTATGATTATTCAAGAGGAGATGTAGTTATTAAGGGCATACCAAAAGTATGATTATTCAGGAGGAGATGTAGTTATTAAGGGCATACAAAAAGTATGATTATTCAAGAGGAGGTGTAGTTATTAAGGACATACCAAAAGTATGATTATTCAGGAGGAGATGTAGTTATTAAGGGCATACAAAAAGTTTGATTATTCAAGATGAGAAGTAGTTACTAAGGGCATACAAAAAGTTTGATTATTCAAGACCAGAAGTAGTTATTAAGGGCATACAAAAAGTTTGATTATTCAAGAGAACTAGTTATTAAGGGTATATAAAAAGTTTGATTATTCAAGAGGAGA